GTATCCCTTATTATGATTTTAATATAGTTTCGTCTAAGTTTCGACTGTTATTAAGGGGTTTCGTCCCTCATCATTAACCAGTTTTCAATGTGATAAATCCAATAAACTAAATTTATATTCTTATAATTATTAAATAATAAATTATTTTAAAAATTGAAAATTGAAAAATAATATATATTGATAATTATGAATTTTAAAAGTTTGAAAATATTACTATTAAATTTATTATAATATGATAAAGTTAAAATTTTTATTTTATTTTTTTTATAATCATTAGATATCAAAATATTTTAAGTTTTTTTAAAATGTTTTAAAATAATTTATATTTATAGTTTAATAAATAGTAAATTAATTATTATTTATAAATTTATTATTAAAAAAAAAAATGAAATTAATTTTAAATTAAAATTATAAATTAAATATATTATCATTATTTTTATAATTTAATTTATTTCTTAAAAATTTAAAAATTTTATTTTGCCAATTTTAATAATATATAATCTTAATATAATTTAATTACATAAAATAAAAACTTTAATGTTTAACAAAAAATAATAATCTTAATCATATAAATTAAAACTTAACTATATAAAAGTAAATGTATGCTTAATTATAATATTTAAATTTAATAAAATTTTTATTAATAAAATATACTGATTATAATAGTATAAAATATATTAATAATAATATATTATAATTTATAAAATATTAAATACTTATTAATTTAAATCAGATTTTTGCCAATATGATTTACCTATATATAAAAAAAAATAAAATTATTAATAATAATTAAAATATATAATAATTTGATAAATAAATATTACATACTTATTAATATTATATATTAATAAAAAATTTTAATATTATTACTTACATGATATTTTCTTACTTATTGTTTAAGTTTTTTTGAATATATAGTATACTGATTATTATTTTTAATGAATGAAATATTTAATAAAATAATTCTATTCCAAAGTTCCTCAAATTTCTTTTTAAAATTTGTCTTTATATCAGAATTATTTATATAAATCTGATTATAAATGTTTTCAAGTATTTCATACCATTTATTTCTCTTAATAAATTGATGATTATTTAATTTATCAAAATTTCTCTTATTATTATTATTTTGAATACTGTTATTGAATTTAATTTCTGGTAAATTAAATTCATAAATATTTTTTAAAGGTAATGTTTCCTTTATTTCCAAACCAAAAATAATAGGTAAGGAAATTCCAAAAATTGGATTAATTATTTCATTATTATTAACCAATTGTAAATATTGCATACAATCTTGATTGAATGGAACTTTTCCATTACAAAATTCAAGATATATATAACAAATAGAATTAAAAGAACTAGTAGTAAGATGTTTTGGAATATTCCTTTCAGGAGTTTCCTGCAGTTTTAGGTCAATCCAAATTCGGGATTCAAAAATATCATCAAAACATTTTCGTGAAATCTCAGAATTTGGATCACAATTTTTAAGTATCCAATAATAGAAATTTGAATGAACGCTTAGGGATCTGATTTTCGTAGTTGTTCTAATTGTCTTATAATTAAGCTTGAATCCGACTTTATAATGATCTAATGCATGTTTTAAAGCTATGCTAGGTTGGTCGATTTTGTTAATTAAAAATTCCAACAAATCAGTTTTCTTAAAATTTCTTTCAGGTTTAATTGCATAAATGAGGCAAGATGATGCAATATCCGATTTTGACTCTTTACGAATTACTTGAAATGAATTCATTAAAAGGTCACCAATCTCGTTTAATTTATGTTCAAATAAATGAAATACCTCTTCTATAACACTATCGGTTAATTGAAATCCCAGATCAATAAGATGTTTTAAACGAGCAACAATAATGTCTACATCAGGACACTCCCAATTATTCGGTGGAGAAGGAGGAAAAAAAATCAAGAGGGCGCCTTGTATTACAAGTTCATTGACATCATCACAAATTTCGTAATATCCGATTTCTTTCCACAAAATTACTAAATCGGGATGAATTAATATTGCTCTAGCCACTACATTAAGTTGACGACTATTTTCATAACCATCCTTCGGTGGATATTCTTCAAGAGCTCTAACTTGCATCAATTGAACGTATTCTACTGTATCTTCATATTTAGGTTTTGGATTCGGAGGAAAAGGGATAAACTTTTTTTTTAAAATTAAATCTTTAATAGATTCAAGATTTTGACGAAGTTTTTGGGGAGCTACATTAATAACCAGGGGACCAGCTGATAGGAAATGAAATAATTCCATATCATTCCCTTTAACTGCAAGTTCATGGTCATTCAAAATGTTATATCCTTCAGTGATTAGTTTAATAAAACTTGATAAAGGTATATTACTTCCCCAAGGTGAAGACAAATTCTTTTTAAGAGCTCGAAGTCTATTAAAGTCAACTTGATTTACATTATGTTCAACTTTAAGTTTAATAAGATTCTCATCATAATTACCGAAATGCATGAATAAACGTTGAAAAAAATATCTTGAAAGGATAACATTTTTTGAAAGCAAAGCCTGTATAACTTCTACCGTAATGAAGCTATTGCCGAGCCTCACAGCGTGAAATAAAGCATGTGCTCTACCATATTTAAAAATTAACCATTCGGCTCGGGCATGAGGGTCTTGAGAAATATTATGCCATTTACGACTTGTAACTAAAAGGTTGATGGGACTTGGTATACATTTGAATATTTCAATGCTTAATTCCGCATATAATGATTGCATATTTAAAGGCAAATGTTCTTAATAGAAGATTCATGTAGTACATTTGTTTTAAATATTACACTTTTTTTTTGATCGACATAATATTATGATTGCATATAAAGTAAATAAATATACAGGTCTAGATGAGGCTTTTTTTTCTTTTAAATTGACATATGATTTTTTAGCTAAGCCTCGTGCTAAAAATGATAGTCCCATTGATTGTCAGTTACATACAATAAATTATTGTCGGTTAAAGTTGCATGCGACCCTAATTTAGATAAATTGATCATCATTTAAGTATTTAATTTAAGAAAAATTTTTATTGCTAAATTAATTTATTTAGTTTAATATATTGACATTGCGAACATGTAGAGCGCCGACGTTGAGGCAACAATGATTAATTTGATATAATTAAATAAATTTAGCGTCAACATTACTTCATTTTTACTCAATAAAAACATACTGCTTACATTTTAAAAATTGTTTATCACATAAAAGAAAGAACTTAATACAACACGATCTTCTTCACTTTCAATTATTAGTTAATTTTAATTAAGCACAATTATTGAATAAATTTATATGGGAGAATTGTAATAATGATGTTAATAAAATTACTATTCTGGTTGATTTATCTGATGTTGATACGAGAATAGCTGCGATCGAGTAAACGGTTTTTTCTTACTTCCTTAGATCATGAGCATAGATGTGTCATTTAACCAATTTACTTTTTTTCTTATTATCTTTTTACGCAAATGTTTTTGTTAAATGGCGAAAATTGTATAATAATAGATATACTTTATAACGAAATTTTTTGGGATTGGGTTAGGTTTTCCATATAGTATTCTATTAATTCGCTTAATTTTAACGAGCATGAAATCATATGTGACTCTAATCTATTGAAGAGATAAAATATTGAAAGTAATTAAATTTGAAAGGAACCTAAAATGATTTAGAGGATGAGTCATATTTATTAAGAAACGCTTTTGCTTTTTCTTATTTCATTTGTTTTATGCATCACTTTTACTTATACGTTCAATCTTTTTTAATTGGACTAGAACTTTTGGATCGAAATAATAGAATTTATTGGGAATATGTGTATGTATTATGAACATAAAAATTTTGTAAACTTGGTTTGTTTGATTTAAATTTTTATTTCTTATTTTTACTTACATTGATTGGCTCTTTAGATCATGTAATAACGTAAAAATATTAAGAGAGAATGTTTATTAATGAGTGTGTCATTGATAATTGGCGTAAATTTGTTGTGAAATAGGTTTAACTGTACTATTGTTTGTGTAAGAAGTAGTAGCTAATGTCGTTAATAAGATATGATATAGATGCAATTGTATAATAGAAAAATTCTTTGTGAAATAATGGAGAGATATCGAAGATGATTAACGAAATATTCTGTGGACTGACTAAGTTTGCTGTCTTTTTTTGTTTCAAAATTATTTATAAATGCTTTACTAACGCGCCAATTGTATTTACTGGACTGGAAAACTCATTGGAGGGTGTGTTAATGAAAATATTATATTAATAACTAATGCGTGTAATAACGGGAGTGATATGGTATAGTAAATTTTGTACTGTGTTTGACTGGAATATCAATGGTTAATATATAATATGTGTGTTTTGATAAAAGTGAATTTGACCGGAATAACCAATACTAATAAATGGAACTTGAATGATATCAAAGATGAAGATAAAATTTTCAGTGGATTGGGTTTGCTGTTATTCCTTGGGGGGTTTTTTTTTTAATTTTTATATACATTACTAACGCGTCTAAATTGCATTGACTGGACTGGATAACTCAATGTGATAGAGAAAATTTTCTAACTATGTGTAACATTGTATAATAAATTTATCTGTACTGAATATGACTGGAATAATCAATGGCTAAAAGAAATATCAAAGATGATTGACGAAATTTTCTGTGACGGGTTGCTTTATCTTTGTATTATTATTATTTTCGTTTAATTTTTTTTATGTGCTTTACTAACACGTCTATCTCTTTGGAATATATGTAATAAGAGTGAACCTGATTCGACTGGAATAATCTATGGAGAATAATTGGTTGTGAGATGATGAAGAGACCTTAATGAAATTTTATGTGTACCTTGTTTGCTAAATATCTTTTACCTGTTTCTTTATACTTTGAGACATTGGATTGTTGGATAAAAAGCATTCATGTGGAGATACTATTGGAGATTGAAATATTGGGAAGGATTATAATTTTCTTTTTTATTGTTCAAATTATATTTCGATATCAATGATTATCGTTATAATTTTTATTAATGACATTATAAGATTTTTAATAATGAGAAATTTGAGATTAAAAAATTGAACCTTCAATTTGTCTAAATGATAATAAATAATTATGTTGGTTAATATATATTTTTTTATTTGTTGAATTAAATTAATATACAATTATATTTCCTACTATTAACAAATAAATTAATGTAATTAATTTTTAAATGTATTTGTTGCATAAAAGTGTAAATTCTCAATGCATTGAATACTCATGGTGAAAGGAATTGAATAAAATCAAGTTATCTTTACTTTCGCATGTCCATACTTTTGTAATTCCAATAGATTATTACTTTGATTTTTCTGTATAGTAGGTATTTCATAAGATTGCTAATCGAATTGCTCACTTTCTCATATGTGCAATATTTTGAAACCAAAGAAAAATAGTTAAAACGTAATCTTTATGTTATATTACATACTGCATGAATAAATTGAATGGGTAGCACGAAAACACAATATCTTTATTAAATTAAAGCAATCCTCTGATTTAACAGGATCATTGTAATTTTTTTATCCACTTTGCTTAAATCGAAATATTACAAACTTTAAACCTACAACATATTAGGGTTCAAAAAAGGTTTCATTTATATCAGGCAAGTGATGATATAACTAATTAAAATTTTAGATCTGTTATACTGTATATTTGTTTCCAAATTTATATCGGAAGAATAAAACAATATAAATTCTGATCGAGAAAAACGATATACGTGATATTATTATTAAATAATCCTTGAACAGGTGTTTAATAAAATCGAATTGCACTTTACTGAACCCGTTTACTTCCATTATTCAAGGTCATGGTGAAAAATAATGTAGTTATTGTTAGCATCACATTCCTGTAAACGACATGTAGCCGATGGTTGGAAGGAGCCTTCTTAGACATCTTTCAAAATACTTCACCGTTCGCTGCATTCCTCTAGCGCAGCCTCGCTAAAAAAAAATAAGTATTAAATTTACATATATTCTAATTTACCTCATTATGGTTGGTACTATATTGTTTGGATAATATGTATTAGCGATATATTAAATATATTTTATTCCTCAATCCTTATAGTCATATTGGTGATGTACCGTGAATTTAATTTATTACTAAAACATATTTTAAATTATGAAAGTTATCAAAGCTTTGTTTAATTGGATTGAAATACACAACTCTTTCGATATTTTTTATGTATTTATTATTTTTATATATACGCAAGATCATAGGTTTTACCAAATTTTCTAAATTAAAAGGAAATGAATTATTAAAACAAGTTTAAAGGTATACTTTAATTTTAGTAATTTTTGATTTCGGATTCAAAAAACAACATTATTATTCATTCAATTTTTAGAAGATTTCTTTTAAAATGACAGAATAATTTTTTTTCATCATTACGCAACGATTTTTATATCATTAATATGTTTTGTAACGCTGCGCCTTCTTAATCACAATGCAATTTCAAGATTTGTGTTCGGTGATGAATTTTTTACTTTCAGCGTTCAACAAATGGGGGCCAAGTTTCTAAAATCACTTTACAGGAATAAGAAAATTGATTTTGAGTAAATGATCTATTTTGTTACACTAATTTCGTAGCTCTTGAAATTTTGCTACTAAATCATCATATGAAACAAAAATCCCATGTTGATCAACTAGTCCGAATATTATGTAAAGTTCAGTGACGCATACAAATCATATGATTGACACATGATTATCAATCAAAGGGTCATATCCTTGAACAATTGAACTCATCAGGTCATAACTTTTTCAGAATAAACTTCCAAATTAATAAAACGAACTTTTATTGATTGGTCGTAGCTCCGATTTACTCTTTGGACCTAAAAATAAAAATTTTGCAATTTTTTTTTTTTTTATCGATAAATACCTTCAACAACTTTCTAACCATAAACATGATCACGATAATCAATAATTAAAGGAATTTTTCGCGGTAGTAACAGTATTTATTTAAAATGGTAAGTTCATAACCGAGCGAGAGATTATTTAAACAGATTTATGTTTATACATACCTGATGCGACATGTATTACAAAACTCGACGAATCGAATAAAGAACTCTAATCTTAACGCGTTACAAATCACATGAAACAACAATTTCTGTCTAAATACTGTATATACCAATATTTTACAATCTATTTTTTTTTAAAAATAAACGAAACTTTCCAACATTTGTCGAAACTACAAAAAATTATTTCTGAATTTCAACTTCTTTGAATCTTTTAACAATGGTAGATACACATTCAAGAAATTTTCTTGATGAAAGAACCCTTTTGATGATTACTCACGTATAGAGCTGCTACCCGTCAGAATTTCAGAATCCGTGTCATATCCAAATAAAATAAAAAGATTAACTGGTTTACCTATTTATACCCGGATTTTTAAAAATTAAATGCTTTTATTATTATAATTTGAATATTGATAACATTATCACTAAACTTTTATGCATTTACAGTTTGTTATTAATTGCGTTGAATTTGAACTAAAAATTTATTTTGTTAATTCTTAAGGTAATAATTTTATTACAAAAAAATATATATATATATATATCCCTACCCTTTACAAAATGGGAATAAAAAATTTTAATATTAATTAAATTGAAAAGAATTACCGTGTAAATATTTTTCAATTGATTTTAAAGTGAACTCCTATATGCATCATACCCCGGGATACTTTACGTTCCAAAGGGAGGGGTCATTTTACTATAGAGCGCGCTTTACGGTAAATTAAACATATTCGGATCAACCCTTATAAATATAAAACGGATACAAACTGGGCATCACCTGTTTTTACCCATTGTTATTTATGATCCGGATGCTCGTGTCGTCCGAGTAAATGGGTAACGAGTCGCAGCTCTACTCACGTACATTGATGCAGTGATGGCAAATGACCAGGTCATTTGGCGATTTTGAAATGACCTCTGAATGACCTTCGAATGACCTTCATTTATCATTTGGTCATTTAAATGTAATACAGGCAAAATTTTATATGCTGGCCAGAATTACAAATTTATATCACGTGAAATATTTATGAAAACATTCGAAACAATTATTTTGGCCAGAATTATTGAGATCACATGATATAATTTCTAAATGACCTGGTCATTTGTCATTTAATGTTGAAATGACCCAAATGACACATGACCAGCCATTTGAGTCATTTGAGTCAACTGCATTGATGGTACTTGCTTATATCCAACAAATCGATGAAATATCACGACGTATGCCACTTTATGTCGTTTGGTACGGAGATGATATTAAGTACCGTATTCTCCCGATTTTAAGCAACACTTTTTTTATAGGAAAAATTTTACAAAAGTTCAGGATGATGCTTAAATTTCGGAACTTTCTTATGTTTCGGATTTTTTTTATGTGCTTCGTATTGATAATTTTTGTACATTAGTGTTTCAGGTGAAACTATTTTTCAACATCCGAAACGTTTCGCCCAGAGAATTTTTCTATCCTAAATTGGAAAGATTTTTGCAGTTCAATTTGGCGAAACTAATTTCACTATTGTACATTCATACTTTAGGAAATTTGTAGATAAAGATAGTGATTTAGCTGATTAATTGGGAAAATGGAGAATTAAAATAAAAATTTTTTTAAATAAAATATGAATTTTTAAAATTTGAGGGTGATGCTTATTTTTGTTTTTCAATTTTTTTTCACCAATAAAATCGTGAGAATACGTTATACGTGCGGTTCGAACGTTCAGAGAATATCTACATTGATAAAGATTATTGAAAACTTCAAATCCACAAGAAGTTTTTAAACTTAATAAATTTCCTTTTTTGCATTTATAATTTTTGAAGTGATGGCGAAGTTTTGTAATTTTGTAAGATTTGTATTTTTTTTTTTTTCAATGATCAAAGTTACTGTAATAAATGTTTTAATACAATACGTTCATAAGACTTTAAAAAAAAGTAAAGTAAAAAGTGCGTTACTTTTGTTGCAGCTAGATAAGGGCGTGTATAAATTTATAAAAGTGAAATAATCGGGAAATTCTAACGTTAGATTAATAATCTGGCAATTTTGATATGATTTTATTGTATAGATAACAAATTTTTATTGCATAATTGAAATTTAATACTTAGTTTCTTTTTTTAATTTCACATTGCTTAAATTATAAATTTTTTATTAAGAATAAAGGGAAGTAACTATGCAAAAGATTATTCAGGTTCTCAGGTGACCAATTTTATTTATTATTTAAATTGAATGAATGTTCTTCTACATTTAATCCAGAATCAATTGGCGTCAGAAAATCCTCATTATTGGTGTAGCAAGAAATTAAAAAAACTCCTTGTATCACAAGTTATTTGGCACCACGACAATTTTATTTGCCATGACGAAGATGAATTGTTACCACGTCAAATTGTATTATGCTACGACTCTAATATGAGAATAAAATTTTTTAAAAAACAAAAAAAAGGAAGAAATTATTTCATTACGTGAAATATTATTATATGCGTTCCATTTATACAAGTATGTACCACTTACGCTTTGAGTGGTGATTCTACAAGGAAGGTTGTACAAGAATCTATTAAACTCTTGATATAAAGAACAAGTATGATGTAATTGAATAAAATCATAAATTCGTCCTGTGAACGAAATCTATAATTTAAATGAAGAAAGGAGCATCATTGCTTATTTGTTACGCCTAAACCATATTAT